AGGTGCCTAAAACATATACTGGAGAAAAGATATACTGGGAAAACTGGTTATCTATATGTAGAAGAACAAAACTACACCTTTATCTCTCAGAAGAAAATCTTTGTTAATTGCTCTTCTGACAGAGTATTAATATACAGATTACATAAAGAATACAAAAAAATTACTGTTAGAGTCTATAAACAAGTCAGGATGGCGCCTGGCATTTTGCCAGGGGGCGTGGTTTGTGAGGTGGCACCAGCAAGCCATTAAGTGTGGAGATTTCTTATTGGTTGACTGCTGTATCTAGTTTACGTTAATTAAGATAAGCTGTGTGGAATGTATAAATACCCCTCCAGTCCTACGATAAACGGCTCCCACTCCTGCTGTATCAATGTACACAAGTTGTTCGTCACCCCCCGGTTATTTTGCTGCAGCCGGACTGCAGCAAATTACCACCAACCAAAAAACAAATAACCCAATACATGGGTAAATGAACTAAACAGACACTTCTCACAAGAAGAAATAAAAATGGCTAAAATATTTCAAAAAATGTTCAAAATCTTTAGCAATTAGGGAGATGCAAATCAACACTACACTGAGATTTCATCTCCTATTAGAGTGGCAGCCATCAAGATCACAAAATAGATAGGGCACAATGGGACACACACTCAGTGATTGGATATGCTGAGGCAGAAGGGTGGCAAGTTTGAGACCAGACTCAGCAACTTAGCAAGACCCTAAGCAATTTAGTGAGACCCTGTCTCACAATTTTAAAAAATAAAAATAGGGGCTGGGGATGTGGCTCAAGCGGTAGCGCGCTCGCCTGGCATGCGTGCGGCCCGGGTTCGATCCTCCAGCACCACATACAAAGATGTTGTGTCCGCCAATAACTAATAAATAAATATTTAAAAAAAAAATAAAAAAAAAATAAAAATAAATGGGCTATGGAGACTGGGGTTGTAGCTCAGTGGTACAGTGCTTGCCTAGCATGTTTGAGGCACTGGGTTTGATTCTCAGCACCTCATATAAATATTTAAATAAGTGACCATCAATATTTAAAAATATATTTTTTAAATGGGCTGGGAGTAAAGCACCACTGAATTCAGTTCCCAGTAAGGGAAAGAAAAAAAATACAAACACTAATGCTAGAGAGGATGTGGAGAAAAAAGGAACTTCTACACTGTTGATGGGAGTGTAAATTAGTACAACCACTATGGAAATCAGTATGGAGGTTCCTCAAAAGATCAGGCATGGATGGGCTGGGGATGTGGCTTAAGCGGTAGCGCGCTCGCCTGGCATGCGTGCCGCCTGGGTTCGATCCTAAGCRCCACATACAAACAAAGATGTTGTGTCCGCTGAAAACTAAAAAATAAATAAATAAATAAATAAATATTAAAATTCTCTCTCTTTTAAAAAAAAAAAAAAAAGATCAGGCATGGAACCACCATATGACCCAGCTATACTACTCCTTTATATTTATCCTGAAAAATTAAAGTCAGCATACAATAGTGATACACAAATACCCATGTTTATAACAGCTATGGAACCAGTCTAGGTATCCATCAATAGATGAATGAATAAAGAAAATGCGGTACATATACACCAATGGAGTTTTATTCAGCCATAAAGAAAAATAAAATTATGTCATTTACAGGAAAACTTGAGAACATTATGTTAAGTGAAATAAGCCAAAGTCAGAAGGTCAAAGATCATATGTTTTCTCTCATATGTGGAAGCTAGAGAAGAAAAGGGAAAAGAAAGGCAAGAGGGGGGCATCTCATGAACATCAAAATGAGATCAGCAGAAGAGAGGAAAGGCACCAGCCGGAGGAAGGAGAGGAGGGAGGGGGTAAATGTTGGGAAGTGATATTGGCCAAATTAATAAAAAAATTTTTATTAAAAATTAATAAAAATATAAATAAAACATGAAACTGAAATATAAACAACCATATATATTCTTTTTTTTTTTAACCATGTATATTCTTTATAGCAACAACTGTCACTAATGAAACGAGAAAAGACAATCCATCTCAAGGCTGCCACCTTGAGTTGCTGTTAGGAATTGTAGACTTTTCTGAAGTAGCTCAGGTGATTCAAAAATGATTGAAATTGGCTTCTTCTTCCAAGCTATTTACTTTAAAAAAAAAAAAAAATTCTAATCCAGAAGAGAAAAGCATACAGATAATGTAAATCCAAACAGTGCAGAATAATATAAAATTTAACATTGCCATTTCTTTTTCCACATCTTCATCCCCTAACCCCATGTTATAAACACTTCCACTTATGTAAAAAACAAAACCTTGTAAGTTTCTTTAGAACCTACTGACTCCATACTGTCAAAATAAGAAATTTATTGCCATTTACATTATTTCTCTTACCAGCTGCAATGCCCRATTTCTGTTAATTTTATTTCCTCTAGAGGTTTTCTTTATGTCCAAATATTGTATTTAAAGCTCTGTGTCTTCATTTAGCCTTTCTAGAAATATCTACTTACKCCCTGGGATGAAGCTGAAGACATTGGTGATTCCACTTACCCCATTACTCACTTGCCATTCTTTGGTAATTTAAAATTTTTGCACTGCAATGGTGAATTAATAATTAAATCATTCATATGTATCAGTTGGTCGATTTTAAAACTTAAAGTCTAAAAAATATTCATCTACAATATGGTTGAAATWATTACCTAGGTCACAATAAAATCATGTGAATGGATCCAAATGGAAAAACAGTCACGTAATTCTTGGTTTCCTTTTTGCCCATTAATCAAGAAAGGTCTATTAACAACACATATAAGACATATATCAATGGAGATTAAACTTGCCCACAATTAGTGGTTTACTGTTCTGGATTCCCATAATATTGTATTCATAACTCTTTAATGCCCCAAAGAATGTGGCATTATAGTTTATCAGCTGGAGTGGAAGAGGGAGAGTATTAAAGCTATGGACATTTTACATTCCCCAGAAAAAAATGTACTTACAACATTTTGGGTATAGTCTCACAGACCTCCTGGCCCAAGATTAAAAGACCTCTGCCCAAAATAGTTTCCCTTAAGGGCAGGGATCTTGTTTAGTATACATTTCTAACACCTAACTGTCCTGTTTGGCTATCAATATTTGGCTAAATTTTAAATGAACCAAATTTTCCCATTTTTTCTGTTGGGGTTTCAAAGGCTACTTTTAAAACAATAAACTTTTATCTCTACAGCATGATTTGTAGAATATACTTTGTAAAGGAATCCAAAGATAATTGGAAGTGGCTTTTAAAGTTATCAGGTTTTTTTCTTGTTTGGTACTACAGATTGAACCCAGGAATATTCTACCACTGAAACATGTCCCCAGTCCTTTTTTTTAAAGTTTATTTTGAGACAGGGTCTTGCTAAGATGCCCATACTGGTGATAGGATTCTCCTGCCTCAGCCTCTGGGTAGCTGAGATTAAGGGCCTGTGCCACTGGCCATATAACATTAGTCTTTAATTACACCTGGGTGATCAAAGATTAAATGTTCCAAAACATGTGTGGATGGATGAGTATATGGACACTATAAGTGATAAGGCAGATAAAAAAAAAAGTGTTAGGGCTGGGGATGTGCTTCAAGCGGTAGAGTGCTCACCTGGCATGYGTGCGGCCCTGGGTTCGATCCTCAGCACCACATACAAATAAAGATGTTGTGTCCGTCAAATACTAAAAAATAAATATTAAAATTCTCTCTCTCTCCCACTCTCTCTTTAAAAAAAAAAAAAAGTGTTAATTGTATGGTTGGGGATGTGGCCTACCAAGGACAAGGCACAGGGTTCAATCCCTCCACCACTAGTTCTGACGGGAGGGAGCGGGGCGGGGTTAACCGCAGATTCCAGGGAGTGGAAACGTGGGTTGTTCATTGTACAATTCTTTGGACCTTTTCTCAGTATTTGAAAATTTTCATAATTTCACAGGGAAAGTGACTTGCCTTACTCAGACATAGGCACAATTTTCAGCTCTTGGAGGGTATAAACTTGATCATTACTTTCGTTTGCAGAGCTCTTTGGAGAGTCACAAATTTTCTATGGTACATTGTAAACGAGCACGCAGGTTTCCTTTGCGAGAAAATAATGTAATTAATGGAGCAATTAACTAAAATACAAGATAGCTCAAGATATGTAATTGTTACGTGGAAAAAGCGACCATGTACACAGATTTCGGAAGAGAAGTGTATGAACCGGAGAGAAAAAGGAATGGTTTTGTGGCTGGACCGTCGTCGTCTCCGAGCGGGCCAGGGCTACTGCCTGCAGCTGGACGAGGGCGGAGAACCTCGGCCTCCCTAACTGGAGAGACCGGTGCTCGCAAATCACGCCGCGCACTCGTCAGAAACGGGACGCTCCTGCGGCTGAGCGGAGCGACGACAGGGGCATCACAGGGTGAGGGAGATTGGGAAGAACCCTGGCCACAACTGACCTGCGAGACCAGGTTCCCGAGGCTTCCTACACCTGGGGGCTGTTGTGATATAACAGGGAAGAGCCGCAGCAGATTTATTACCCCTCACCCGACAGTCTTAATTGTGATATGAAGGAGGAAGCTGGACCAGCTGCCTCAAAATCTCCTCGGTCTACAGTACTGCGGGAAGATCTGAGACACTCACTCGGGCTCTGACCAGCGCCCTCTCGGAACAGAATTCGTTAAAAACATCCTAGCGCTCGCTGGTCGCCGTCGATCCTGCGCATGCGCGAGGATGCTCGCCCGCCCCACCTCCTGAGGTGAATGGCCTATCCCATTCCTGAGGGATGCTGAGGGTGGGAGAGACTTGGAAGCCTGGACCGGAAACTGCAGGTGCGTCACTAGTTATTTACAGACCTTAACTACACAAATGATAATTTGTGATTATTTTACTTCAACCTCGATGATTGCGACAGACTTCTGAACAAAGTGAATTTGTTACGGTTCCACCAACTAGTCTCCCCCTCTCACCTGGGAGCGTTAGGGCTGGCTGGCGTGACGGCCAGGTACGGAAGCCTAGAGGGCCACGCCCACCTCGACGGGGCCCCGCCCCGCCTCGCCTCCCGCACCCGGCAGGTTCCCCACCCGGCAGCGCCGCCCGGCAGCTCCTCCTCGTCTCCGCCCCGCCGGCCGCGGGCGCRGGGGACGTCAGCGCTGCCAGCGTGGAAACCACCGCCGGGCGCGGGAGGCGGAAGTAGCGCCCGGGACTGCCGGGCCACCCACCGGACTCCGCCGGCCGCCTCAGCCATGGACGCGTCCCTAGAGAAGGTCCGTCGGGCGGGTAGGACGGCCCTGTGGCCCAGGCCCCCGCCTCCGGGGCTACTGTTTCCCCGCGAGCTGCCACTGTGACCCGGGGAGGGGCCGGGGGCTAACCGGCCGCCGAGGAGGTCTGGCCGCGAGGGCGTGCGGCCGGGCCTGGCCACGTCACGGCCGGGTTCTGCTGTGGCCGACCTCAGGGCCTGCCGAGGTTCCGCGAGGGGCCGGCCTGAGCCTGGGCAGGCCCCTCGGGTGACGGCGGCTACCAGTTTGGATCCCACGAGCGCCAGGAAAGAAGCCCCAGTGGTTTCGAAGCCAATTGCAAGGTTTTCTGTGGTTTCCAAGTTCGGAAGAAAATTGTTAACAGCAGTGGCCTTGCAACTTCAGCGTGCACAGGGCCCTTAGTAAAAACACAAAATTTCAGCCCTAGGGTGTGAACCTCTGGGGGATTGGACTCGTATTTGCATGGTTAACAAGTTCCCCCACGTGATTCTGATTTTTTAACCCCGGGAAGGGACCTCGGGGGTCTAAAAAGGGGTGGGTATTTCATAGACTGTGAATTTACTTTCGGGGATTGCAGCTGCTCCACAACTTCTTGGCTCCTCCCTTCTGCTGTCCAGAAGAGACCTTGGCGTCAACCCCCCAACCACCAGCTCTTTACCCTGATTTCCCTTGGAGAGAACAGCAGCGTGATGTACCAGGCTGATTGCTCTGGCGGTTGAAATGGTCTCTAATTGTCCCGATCTAGGGCTTGTAAATGAGAACAGGTGCTTGGGTTTCTTAATGGAGTCCTGCCTTCGGTGCCTGACATTGTCTTTCCTCAGAGCCCTATTCTTTCCAGCTTGGGATTCTGTTTGTTCAGTTTGATGCAGACAAGTTTTTCTTACATGTGGAATTCAGGAGCAATTCTGGTGTTTTAAGATTGCTTCCTTTTAATGTTGAATGGACAGAAATAACATACTTTGTTTTCAAAGCAGCAGCTGCCATAGATTTGTTCATTTGTCACTGAGAATTGAAGGCAGAAATTTGTAGAAGTTGAGCCAGATAGCTTCACAGGCACACCGTGGTATAGCCTATTCCTTGGTTGTTTAACATAAATTGGATGGAAGACAAGAAAAGGAAAAGATAGTGTCTTTTTCTTAAGTATTCTGATTAGCACAATGCCTATCTGTTAGAACTTCGAATTTCATTCAAGATCAGTGGTTCTCAACCATGAGCAATTTTGTTCCCTGAGGGTCAGTGGCAACAAATGAAGATATTTTAGATGGTCACAAGGTGGGGGTGGAATGATGCTAAACTTCTCCGCTGCGCAGAACAACCTCCCACACCAGAGAATTATCTGACTCCGAGATGTCAGTAGTACTGAGCCCGAGAAACCCTGGTCAAGATCATGTGTGTAACATAGTAGTTGAATATAAAATGATGCTAAAAATGTCTCTTCTGTGTTGCTTCCAATTTCAAGAAGGTGAGGTGGGCTTTGTGTCTTTCAGTTAGAAACCTGAAAGAAATGGGGTGATTTTTTTTTTTCTCTAAAAATAGCTCTTCATAAGCAACTCTGCAAAACAGAGTGGGCTGGAATCCTGCTTTAAATATTACTTTTCTGACATTTGATTAGTAGATTATGGTGGATACTCCCTAAATGTTAATTGATGATAAAAGATCTTAAACTCTCCAAATGAAGACCTGAAGAGGTACTGGAACTCCAGCATGGTTAAAGGTGGGGTTGTCACAAAAATTGCACAAAACTTAGGAATTCAGAATATGTAGACTGGAAGTTTTTGCCTCAGGCCAGTGTGAAAATTCTGAATGTAAGTTTTTTAGAGCTAGGATTGTGTTTCTTTTTTTTTTTTTAATTTAATGAAATAATAGGAAATTTAACTTATAATGAACAATTTCTGTTAATGCTCAGTGGGTAGAAAAGAAAAGCTATTGCCATATTATGAATTCTGATKCCTTGTGTTCTGAAAAATAATTTGAATCAAAGTGAAACATTGAATTGTGTCCATTATTCCCGTTTCTTTGCGGAATAGACTATTCTGGGTTAATTTCTGCACTGCTAACATAAATTTGAGAGCTATCTCAACAGTTCTGAATGATCCTATTTAAACTGATCTGTGCATAATTTATATGGCTGTAGAAACCACAGTGTTATTTCATACTCATCATCTAAAGTTTCAAGTACTATCTCAGAGGGGGTATGCTGTCATCATTTAGTAGAATCACTCCTTACATTTCCTTTGGTTCAAATATAATTCTGTACCCTTGCTCTTTCTTGGGGTAGTATGTAAATGTGCAGTCCTGCCATGACAGAACCACTTTCTTATATTGATATGTTTTTCTTTCATAAGAGTATCAGCTTTCTTGTATCTGAAATGAGGGATGTCTTAAGAAACCATGTAGCTTGATTGAGAGGGATTCAAGCAGGAGAGTAGGAGTAGGGCTGGGGTCTTGAGCCTTCAGTACTCTATGTCCAACTTAAAACAGGGCCCTGTAGAATAATCTCACAGTGTTTACTTATGTTAATATTCAAGTGAAAAAATGCCACAGGAAGTAATTACTAATAGTTGACAATCTTAATAAATTATTCACCACATAACACATAGTACACTTTCCAGTAAGGTCTGCAACTTTATACCTTTTCCTGTTACTTGAAAAATCTCTTTCTGGGTATTGTGTTTAAACAAGGTGAACTGCAGTTTGCCTTGGGTTTACTTTATTTTTTGCAACACTGGGGATTTGAATCCAGGGCATTTTACCTCTGAGCTACATCTTTACCCTTTTTTTTTTCTATTTTGAGACAAGATCTATATCTCACTAATGGCCAAGACTAGCCTTGAACTTGTGATACTCCTTCCTCAGCTTCCTAAGTAGCTGAGAGTACAGACGTGCTACCACACCCAACCCTTGAATTTACTTTAATTCCATCCTTGAGCAAACGTTGGACAAAGTTTGCCAACTTCAGCATTCCTGACCTTTTGGGCTAGATGATTCCTTGTTGTGGGGCTGTCCAGTGTATTGCAACATGTTTAGCAGCATCCTTGACTTCCCACTGTCCAGATGCTAGTAGTACTCTCTCCCCAGAGTTGTGGCAACTAAAAATGGTTTCTGGTGGAGGCCGTTGTCCACTATGGATGGAAAGAATCGCCTCTGGTTGAAAATCACTGAGAGAATCTAGAGCTGAGCTGTGCTTTGCAGAGCCAGTAGGCCCTGTGACCAACTTGATTCTGGATTAATTAAATTTTAATAAAGTTTTAAATTCATTTTCTCACTTATACTAACCACGTTCCAAATGCTCAAGAGCCACGTTTCTTGTGGCTGCCTTACCAGGTGGCACAGGTGTTGTGTGCCACCAAAGAAAAATCTACTGAATAGCACTATCGAGCTGGACAATTTGTTATATTTAATTCTTGTCTCAAGAGGCAACTTGAACTGTTTTTTACTTACATAATTACAGTTTACACCTGTAATCCCAGAGGCTTGGGAGGCTGAGGCAGGAGGATCATGAGTTCAAAGCCAGTCTCAGCAATTTAGCAAGGTCCTAAGCAACTCAGTGAGACCCTGTCTCTAAATAAATATTAAAAAAAAAAAAAAGCTGGGATATGGCTCAGTGGTTAAATACCCCTGGGTTCAATCCCTGGTAGCATAATAATAATAATTACAACTCAACCCATTTTTGTTTCTTGTTTTCATCATAAACTAAGTTGTTTGGTTTTTTTTTACCCCCCTTCCTTTGGGTCTGATTTTGGAAAACCTTTTATCACCTTGCTGTTATGCTAGAAATTTTGAAGGAGCAGCATGAATGGAACATTCCCAATCTTTACTTGCTGATAAGGCCTGCCAGAATTCCTATCCCTGCTCTTAAAAGTAGGAGAGAAGAGCCCCTATTAGGCAAGCTTGCAAAGATCAGTTTCCCTGTGTGCCTTTGCAGAGTCTGCTTCTCTGTGTAGAATGGGAGGTGTTGTAGGCGGACCTGACAAACTCTGATTTTGACTTTTGTTTAAAGTGGATCTCTGCATCATTATGAAGTGATGGCTTTGCATACAGGTGCAGGGTGGCTGTGTCAGTAATGATTACCTAATGGCTAGGCATTGGAGCAAACTGATGGGACTTTACTGTGACACAAAGTTCCTCCTCCTAAAAACTTAAAACCTTGGTGATTCTTGATTTATTCAGGATTACAGAGCTGGTTCCCAGTCCCATGTGTGCTCCATTATATCCAAGATTTTGAGTTCTAATTATAGGTAGGAGTTGATTGACCTTAGTTGTGTCTGACTTCACCAAAAGCAGAAAGCTGTTTTAATTCACACATTTTTATTAGCTGAAGGTCAGCTATGGTCAAAACCCCAGTGCTAGGCACTGAGACTCCAGATGATTAAGACATGATGCCTCCAGGAAGCAATGTTTGTAAGGAGTATACACATTTTAAGACAAATTCTTGAATAGCAAGGAGGGGTAAAACTAGCATGACTTAAGAAACAARCAGGAGTGCATGGAGATTTTTGTGGAAGAGATTGTTTAAGTAGAATATTTAGTTTGGAGTTACACTTTTCTAGAGTTTGCTTTAATTGTAAATGCATACATTTTTACCTTATGATATAACTGTCCTCATATTATTGTTGGCAAAATATGAATTGAGACAGAAAAGCCATTTCACTTCTTTTTTTCCCAAGTTTTTTATTCTTTTTAGTTATATATGACAGTAGAATGTATTTTGACATACACATATATGGAATTTAACTTCCCATTCTTGCGATTGTACATGATGTGACGTTTCACTGGTCATGTATTCATATTTGAACAGAGGAAAGTTATGTCTGACCCCCCTCCAACTCCCTGCCTATTGAGAGTCAGTATCCATATATCAGAACATTCGGTCTTTGATTTTTTGGGATTGGCTTATTTCACTTAGCATGATAGCCTCCTGTTCCATCCATTTACCAGCAAAAATATAATTTCATTCTTATTTATGGCTAAGTAATATTCCATTGTGTATATGTACCACATTTTCTTTA